GGGGGGAGGGGGGGGGTGGGGTTCTACTCAAATAAAAAATAAGAATGGGATAGCAGGTGAGTGGTCATCTTTTGATTTATTTTATTTTTTTGTTTTCCATTTGTTTATTTTTTATATACATGTTGTATGGACGTTTCCGAATGGTCTATCACCATTCACAAACCCCTACCGCACAGCACACATTGAGTGATATATAATTCTGGTTTAATGTATAGTAGTAACCAACTTAATACAGAAAAAAGATTGGGGGAGAACTATTTTCGAGAGAATAGGCGGCTATCAGCGCCGGCGGGAGAGAGAGAGAGAGAGAGAGAGAGAGAGAGAGGGGGGGGGGTGTAGGGGATGAGGAGAAGGTGGAAAGCAGAAGAGAGACGGAAGGAGAGATATACCAAGAACCCCCTTCCCCTTTCCCATCTTTTTCTCTCCATCGTCAACATGCTCCTGTAGCTATAGAGCTACGTTTGGCTAAGTCTACTAGCTTACTGGCACAGTGAGTACTCTATAGATGAGATCAAAATTTGGAGAAAAATAAACTGAATCAGAGCTAGTTGTAGGGTAAGCCAGTTAGAGTACATGAAAATGCATGTTCATTTTTTTTTCTCAAACAACCCCTGCTTTCCTTCCGCACATTTTCTCTTACTCATTGGTACAGCCATGGACCAGAACCAGACATTGACCGCGCCTGGAACACGTGCTAGGATTGGTGTATGTGTAAAAAAGGCCTCTCATTGGGGACCCGAAAGTGACACCGATAGATCATACTGTACATGCTATTGCAAAGAATGATCTACAGTACGCACAATCATTGCCCCTCCCCTCCCCTTCCCAGTGGACCAATCGTGGGATGTTTAGACTAGAGTCATTTGTAGATGGTGAAAAATGGGGAAGGTATAAATACCGCATATCACCGCATATCACTAAATATCACCGAACATCGCTAAATAATATCACCCCCAGGTCACTAAATATCACCGCATATCACTGAATATAACTGCACGTTACAAAATATCACAGCATATCACCGAATATCGCAAAATGTCACCGCACATCACTAATAAATATCACCGCATGTCACCAATCACCAATCTCTGACTCTCTTTTTGTCTGTGTTTCTCTTTCTCTCTGTTTGTGTGCATCTCTCTCTCTCTCTCTCTCTCTCTCTCTCTCTCTCTCTCTCTCTCTCTCTCTCTCTCTCTCTCCCTCTCTCTCTTTCTCTTTTTTTTCCTTTCTCCCCACCCCCTCTCTCTTTCTCTCCCCCTCTCTCTCTTTTTCCCCATGAATTGGGGTCTTTACAAAATGAGGGCGTTTTGAAAAAAATGTCCAGGATTTGGTGGGGACCCTGCAGTTAGTATTCCTCGAGCGCTCGCAAACTCGCGATTCTGTGAAGCCGACTGAATCACGAATCGCCACTCTCAGTCTCAGATTTGGTGACCTGGATCAAGCTCTAGTCTGGAGTCTCCCCCCCCCCCCTCTGTTTCACTTTTATGGCATATGGTACACACAATAGGAACAAACCAACACCAATGTTGCACTAGGCACATTTCTATCTCTATTTAGTTATGTGCGGTGATATTTAGCGATGTGCGGGGACATTTAGTGATGTCCGGTGATATGAGGTGATATGCGGTTTTTATACAATGCGTGAAAAAAGCACAGACTCATAGCTCTGACCTACTCGTAGGACAAACTGTCACGCAAGGTTTGAGGTGCTTTGAACGTCTGTTTGATGCGTATGAGGTTATTAAAATTTGTCTGAATGGATGAGTAAAAATCCAAGGATTTCTTTTTTTTCCGAGAGTCCGGTGTCGGTGATCCATTATAAAGGTATTCGTTTTCGGGTACAGTGCATTGGATTGGTTGTTCGTAAAATAATATATCATCGCTGTAGATAATGCTGATCAAATCTCTAAGCTTTGCATTTCTTTTGAAAAGTGTGCTTGTTAGCTCTTGCATTTTCATACGAATAAGACAGCCAATGGTTAGCTGACTGTGTTTATGAATGAACGCAACGCACAAACAATGACCAACGTATTACATGTACTGCAAGCTTCACCAGGACTACACTTTTCAACACTATAACTACTAGATCTAGTATCTCATAGCGCACAAGAAGTTCATCAAAGTTCACTAAACTAATAAATAGACAATGACGCAAAGAGCCCCATGA